CGAGTTAAGTGGCCTTACAGAAGGCCACTTAACTCGGGACCTCGGGCATTATATTTGTTACAAATAATTCATTTCATTGTATTTAGAAGCGTATTAAGAGTAAAATATACTTTTAATTTTGAAGATCTAAAAGAAATCTTTTTGATATCTGAAAGACCCTGCCTTCAACTCTTTGAAGCCTTTAATTTTTGATAAAAATTTAATGGAGGATCGACCTATATCCACTAAACTTTTGTGTAAAAGTCAAAGATGGATTTACACATGAGCTAAACAAGTTGAGCTTAGGACTCACGTTATTACACTACAACTTAGGGCCTCTGCTTTTAAATTTATTACTATTTAGTGAAATGGAAGGGTCTCTTATATTATAACATAGGCCTATAAGAGCAGATTATACGTACTACTTTTTAATCATAATTTTTGCTATTCTAACTTTCTATACATATTTTGCAATTTTTCGTCAATTTAAGCTAAAATGTTAATAAATTTTCATAAGAAAAGATATTCTAATTCAACATACGATGATATAAAACAGTCTTACTAACATATATCGCGCAGCTTGTACGACAAAGAAGAGAATGAAGTAAATGGAGAATGGAGTACAAGAAGTTAGACACTAATATGGGATGTTATCTACCAGGAATAATTCAACTATAGAAATTATAACGTTGACTACAAGGAATATTGTAATGTGTTGCCCTTTACAAGTAGCAAACATGCATTGTAACATGTGATGAAAGTTTATAGTTTACACTCCCTTTAACATGGAATTTTACTTTCAAAGTTGCAGCCTAGGTGAATAGGATACGTATACGTGTTTCCTATCTTCTTGTAAATCGAGTTAAGAATTTATTATAAACATTTTGTTAATACTTTTACCTTGAAAGAGAGAAGACAAAGTATAACAATTTCCTGTTGATCAAGTTTTCTTTTTCAGAAATTTTGTAATAATCAAATTAATTATTATTATAATTAAAGATAAAATAAGTTATTCTTTAACGTTTCTAAATGTTCTATTTTATAGTTTCCAATTAAGATTTTTTCTTTTATTTTCATTTTAATTAATTCATTTAATTTTAAACTGATTAAAATTCAAATATGTATGTATAGACGGAGGCTGCAATTTAGTTTTTACAGCAGTTGACTGACTTTTAGTCTATCTGTGTTTGTATTATGTGTAAAGAAGGTTACTTATACTTGCATATAGGCTTATATACGAACATATGAGACCCTTCTTTGTGTGCACGCATATACAGCATGGTTCAAAAGTCAGTTAACCACTGGAAAGACTAACTTTCTGCCTTGTTCAAACAGTTAAATACTTAATGATATTTTTTTAATCGTGTGTTCACGAATTTTGTAAAGGAAGAACATGTCTAAATTCAGTTTCGTATTCATATTCACATGTGTAATGGAAACAGAAAACAAAATAAGTTTTCTTGAGAAGTTTTTAATTGATTAGAATTGATTTTTATTTAGAAGGTTTTATTTAATATTAATTTAAAGATTTAAATATTAAAGAAAACATGTTTTAATTAATTATGACATAATTTTTTAAAAATTCCTTTTATATTTTTATTTATTCGATTATAATTCTTTAATCGTTTATATAATAAGAATTTGTTTATTTTTATTGTATTTAAGAATGTAGTTACACTCAAATTATACATTTAAATATGAAAAATTAAGACAATAATATTTAAACATTTAAATATTAATAATTAAATATAAAAAAATAAGGTCGTTTATTCTTAAAATAAATCATACTATTGAATTTATTTTAANTGTTAATACTTTTACCTTGAAAGAGAGAAGACAAAGTATAACAATTTCCTGTTGATCAAGTTTTCTTTTTCAGAAATTTTGTAATAATCAAATTAATTATTATTATAATTAAAGATAAAATAAGTTATTCTTTAACGTTTCTAAATGTTCTATTTTATAGTTTCCAATTAAGATTTTTTCTTTTATTTTCATTTTAATTAATTCATTTAATTTTAAACTGATTAAAATTCAAATATGTATGTATAGACGGAGGCTGCAATTTAGTTTTTACAGCAGTTGACTGACTTTTAGTCTATCTGTGTTTGTATTATGTGTAAAGAAGGTTACTTATACTTGCATATAGGCTTATATACGAACATATGAGACCCTTCTTTGTGTGCACGCATATACAGCATGGTTCAAAAGTCAGTTAACCACTGGAAAGACTAACTTTCTGCCTTGTTCAAACAGTTAAATACTTAATGATATTTTTTTAATCGTGTGTTCACGAATTTTGTAAAGGAAGAACATGTCTAAATTCAGTTTCGTATTCATATTCACATGTGTAATGGAAACAGAAAACAAAATAAGTTTTCTTGAGAAGTTTTTAATTGATTAGAATTGATTTTTATTTAGAAGGTTTTATTTAATATTAATTTAAAGATTTAAATATTAAAGAAAACATGTTTTAATTAATTATGACATAATTTTTTAAAAATTCCTTTTATATTTTTATTTATTCGATTATAATTCTTTAATCGTTTATATAATAAGAATTTGTTTATTTTTATTGTATTTAAGAATGTAGTTACACTCAAATTATACATTTAAATATGAAAAATTAAGACAATAATATTTAAACATTTAAATATTAATAATTAAATATAAAAAAATAAGGTCGTTTATTCTTAAAATAAATCATACTATTGAATTTATTTTAATTTTAAACCTAAAATTTATTTAAAACACATTATTTTTTTAGCTTTAAATCCATGAAATTCATTAGAATACATTCTATCTAATTGGAGAAAATGTAATTATATATCTTTGAATAGATTATTAAATATTTTTAAAAAGACATTTCACTATTATCTTCACTAATTATCTTCTTTAATAGTCTTTTGCAAATATGTGAAAGGATTCGTGTATGATGTACCGCTGTAGAAGAAAAAAATTCCTTTAAAAATAGACTTCAGAACTATTTTTAGTCATTTTTTTTCTTATGTTTAAATACTTTTAAAATCGTTCTTAAGCTTATATCACTTATTTTATATTCTCATTTAAGAGACTAATTAAAACATAATCTTTTCTCTAACGAGTAGTCTCTAACATAATTTGATGTTAAAACATTGTTCTCTGGAATTAATGTCGCTCTTAGTTAACTTATTTTATAAAAGTATTTTTCTAATTTTTCTTATTTTTTTAAAAATATAATTTTATCTTAAACAATGAATAAACTATTTATAAAAATTCTAATTATAAATTGTTTAGAGTTAACGTATAAAAGTTAAATGAATGTAAACTGAATCGAGATAAAGATCGTTAATTGTAATTATCTTACCTAATTTAAGGGTAATTACTATTTTAAAGAGAAAATTAATTTAAATTTCTTTATAATTATAGAAAATGCTAATTATTTTCTTATAAAACTGTGAAGAAGAATAAATTGAGATATGATTATCAGGATGTTAAATAACTGTGTTGACATGGATAAGATCCTACATTATTTTATGAATTTATTTAATTGTTTAATTTTCTTTATTAAACATTTCATTTTAGCGAATTTATAAAACTTGAAATCATTAATTACAATTCATAAAATAAGTAATAAATTCGTGAATTGATGATAAGCATTTCATATGTTATAACGTACAGGCCATATTAATTTCATCGCTTTTTTTATTGTATTGATAGTATTCTATTTCTTCATCGTTAAAATTAATTATATTGATTCAATAGGTTCAAATCTAACTTTTTACTATTTATATAGGAATATTATATTGTTAACTAAATCAATACAAATCTGATGAATTACACAAAGAATTTTTCTAAAGAAATATACAGTACAAGGAAGGGAATGATTTACTTTCCAAATTATGGACTATTTATTGTTCTATAAAGTTTGCGGAAGAACACGTTAGGAACATTCTATACATTACATTGATGTTAATATAGATATTTAGTGAATAATGAGGGCTTCTTGAATTAAAAATGTAACACGAAACTAAGATCATCAATTAAATAATTCGCTGTAGATAAGTCTTTAAACACTCTAAAAATCCACATTTTTTCCTATCTACCCTGTGTTGTGTTATTAGATAAATAATAACTGTGCCAACTGAAGAAGACTGAACTATAGTAGAACTATGTCTTATGTAAGAACCAAATCTTATAAGTGTATTCTGTATGAAATCAATTATATACGAGTAATTCTTATATATAGTAAGCTATAATTGGTTTCTATAATATTATATATACAGTATTATGGTTAACATTATATATATTGATAGTCAGCTATAATTGGTTCTTATATAACTGTAATAATACTATATGCATGATTGTTGTAATGTAGATATTTATACCGAAATTTTCTTAGAACATTACATAAAAACATTTTAAATAAAGGAAGACGAATTGTTTGCATTAAAAATTATTAAAATTGAACTATTATTTATAAATCAGTCATTTAGGATTATATAGGCTATATAATATTTAACTTTGTGAAAATGTGTATTATTAAATAAAGATTTTATAGTTTATATAATTTATAAGATGACCCAAAAATTAGTTAACCGTGCTTTCTTTAAATTGTTTTGCTTCAATTGCATTTATCTTATGAACGAAAAGGATTTACATTTTGTAATATTTGTAAGTAATAAACTATTGGAGTAAGACAGCAGTTTAGTCCTTATAATTGTGGTCCTACTTGTGGGCCACCTTGCATATATTTCTTCATTATATTTACCTATTTTTTTGGTCAAATTTTGTAGATTAAAATATATAAGTATCACATAATCTTAGAATTTTTTTAACGATTCTTCCAAATATTTTCGATACCGAAAGAAATTTATAACCAATTCATTAAATAAAATAATTGTGATTTATTTTTTCGAGTTTATTCTTTTAAATTTACATAATTTAACTTGAAGGAAGATTATAAAATATGATAAAATAAGAACAATAAATTAATTTACATTAAATTGTAATTATAAATTTATATAATTTTTATTTTTTAATTAAATAAATATTTTATTAATTATATACAAAAATACAGTATATGTTGGCTATGTAAATGTATTATATAAGTATTTGAAAGCTACAACTTGTAAGATTTGATGATTCAGCAATCAATTCATAATTCTATCCAAGGCTGAAATAAAAATAAAATAATGTAAATTATTTTTATGTTCTTTAATTAATATATCATTTATGAATGTCAAAATATTCGATTTTTAATTATTAAATGTAAAAATAAATTATGTTTTTTTTGTATATTTGAATCTGTTTTTTAAAAAAATTAATTAAAATTAATAATATAATAATAATGTTAATCCTATAATAAAAAATTTAATTAAATTTTATTCCAATTTTTATAATTTTGATGTAAAAATATTTGTGCGGGTATAAATTAGATTGGTTGCGATTCTGAACTACAATATAGCCTATATAAAAGGCCTTTTCTCTTCGTTAAATATGTTAACAGCACGAGGCCCTAATAAATTAATATACTATAATAAATTTAACAGCTTGGGGCTTTATGTTTGAAATAAAAATGCAGATAAGCTTGTTTATCTGCATTTTCAAAATGTGTGTTATAACAGATATAACATAAGGCTTGAGAGATATGATATGGCCTATTTCAGTCACAGATGCGAGGCCTTACACTTTCCGAAAACTATAAAATATATCAATAAAATTAATAAGCACATAGTAGTATGAAAAGAAATTTTAATTTATTGCATTGCTTCATATTACTGTTTTTTATATAAAAGATTAAATTTTAAGTCAGTGTTTCTAGGTAAAGCCAAAGTACTCTGATGGCATTTCTCTGTGTGAATCTAAATATAATTACTTAAATTTCCATATAAGCATAGAGCTACGTGTAGTTATAGATATACTGTACAATACAAGTATAGAACTGTAGAGTACAGTTACATAATATAGCCTATATTATGTCGAATTTAATTTGATACACTAAGAATTTCCAAATACATGTTAATTTAATTAATTTAATTAATTAATAAAATTAATTTAAAATAAAGAAATTTTAAATTAATTTGTAATAAACATTTAGAAATGCTTCTTATATCAATATGCAATATATAAAATAATGTTAATTAATGTATTACAACCATATAAACTATGCAAACACTAAATGTGGAAGCATATTATTCAAAGCCTATTATAATTGACTAGATACATCTATTATGGTGTATAGAATCATATTAGTAAAACTAAATATAAATAGACCTAGTAATGTGTATAAATTTAAGACCAAGATTTGATTTTGGCCTTTATGTGTCAAGTCTACTGTATGCAAACCTGTTTATAGATTTGTATGATACAAGCCTATCATCCTGTCAAAAGTGTAGGCCTACTGCACTTTTGAATGCATAACATAGTAAATCAAACAGTATATTTAATTAGAAAATTAATACAGAAAATCATAAAAAGTTTAATTTATCAAGGTTTGTTTTACTATATTTATACTTAGGCTACTTCAAAAATTATATAAGCTACATTTAGATATTTTAAAGTATGCTGTACTATGTAACAAAATTAAGATTGTTTAGATTAATATATTATATTAATTATAAACTAATTAATAAATTAACTTCTATTAATCTTTCTTAATGGATCTACTGTAATTTATCTAAATTAAAAAAATATATTTTTACTCTATTTAAATATTAAATTAATTTAATTTTCAATTGTGTTTTTACATAATTCTTGATTATTCGTGTATTTTCTCTCATCATCATTTCAAACTCCATCTTTGATCTTCTCATTAACAATGACAATTTTACTTATTAACCAAGATGCATGATGATAAATGGTAATTGAAAATGAATTTAGTTTTTTATTCTTTATCCTTTATGCTTAAAAAATATCTTTAAAATTATAAAATTCTATCAAAACCGTGTCTTAATTCACACGCTCTTATCGCAGCATCCTACAAACTTTAGATCTAAAATTCAATNCTATATACTATTATATAAATTAAAACAGGAAAAATACTAAGTTTTAACAATAAAAACTGCATAAACAGCTTTAAAATGATAAAAGAAGTATATAATAAAATATTGTCGAAATTGTGAGTTTTAATCATTAATTTTTAACAAAAATGTCTTAGATTCGATTTATAAATATTATAAAAACAACATAGAGCATATTACATTGCGAAGTAAATGTTATAAAAATGATTATAAACCTCAGTTTAATTATAAAATCCATAATATTTTGTTAAGTAATGTTTTCCTTAATTTTACTTAAGTAATAATGAATTAAACTCTAAAAATTATTAGATTAATAAAATTTAATATATTTAGAAATGATGAAATAAAATAAAAGTGATTAATTCATTGCATTATAAATACAAGTGATAATACAAGGATAGGAAAATACAAGGTTAGCCAATATGGCGTCGAAAACTTAAAATTAACATAGATTCTGTGACTAAATATGTTATTAAATGAAAGCACCAAAGTTTTTAACAGTAGACTACCTTATAATTAGGATTGAATTTACACACAAGCTAAATAAGCTATAGCTTAAACCCTTATACTAGGAAGATACAGTTTAGCACCTTACATTTTAAAATTTATTATTATTTAGTGGAAGAGGAAGGACCTCTTATATGGTATAGTTTATGAACAACAGCAAGAGTAAATATGCCCTGCTTTCAATACTTTAACATAGGCACAAGTGCAATACTGCACGAGTCAATCAAATTTATACCTCATATTTTGACAAATTTTGGTGTTAGCTTGCACGATACATCCTCGTAATTCTTGCAAAATGGTATCCTAGATAGGGGAGTTCAAATATCAAAAACTTCATAGACCCTCCCAGAAACTATGTGGTTAAACTCTTAAAGACACATAAAAGAGGTGTTCTATATTATACATTACGGGAAAATTTGCGATTTGCATTTATAAATTAAAGGTCCTATAATGTCTCATAGTACAATAATGCCTATTTTAGGTAAGCACTGTAAAAACTATCTTCTAATTTTAAAGTTAATGCATGATTAATTTTTCCAAAGAAAACATTAAAGAAATTAATTGTAATAGAAATTATATTAATTTGATTATGGTAACGAAATTAGTATAAGTTTACACGTTCTTCAATAATATGCTTGAAATAATAGGATAATCTGATAGTTTCATATTTCATGAAATATGACAGGTCTTACATTAACTTCTTACATTGAATTTCATATAAGACCTGTCGTATAATTATGATAATATTTAATGATTTGTAAGTTTTAACAGGAAATTCCGCAAGAAAATGAAATTCCAAACTAGTTTACATGAATTTGTCATCTTACCCTAAATCTCAACTATTTTTTCAGTTCCTTTCAAAAAAAAAAATTTTAAAAATAGGTTCGGTAGATTCTTCAAATGTTTATAAAACACAAAAAAAAATATATTAATAGTCTTCATATTTGTAAAATTAAAAATCTTATAATGAATTTTTTGTAGTACAAACTNATACTGTATTTTAATTAGAAAATATACATAAATCAAAATTTTTATGTTTTTTATCATTTAAATATAAGGAATTTTAATTCATGTTTAACTATTGCATATTAAAATAGATTCAAAATTTATAGGTTAAAATCTTCTATATAAGCTCTCGATTTTGTCATAAAATAGCAATAGGGTCGGATTCTTATATAAACTGAAAAAGCTATAACTTCGGACCTCAATTTATGAGGAACCTTGTTGCATTCTAAATAAACAAAATTAATATAAGCTTATATTGTTCGTTAACTCTTTGCTGTATATTCTTATGTGATTTTTCCTTGTTATTTGACGCTGTTAAAAACGTAATATCTAGCCTAATTCTGGTTCTGTCTTAATATCATTTACTTAAAAGAAAAAGCCTCTTATATGTCATAGGTTATATGGTTACATGTTTAAATCAGGCTCAGAATAGAAACATTTTATCATTCTTAAACATAATAAGCTTAACATATTTATCGCATTATTAAAAAAAGTAATAAGAAATATTTATTTATTATTTTTTGACTATACGTTTGAGGTTTAAATAAGGCTTACATAATTTTAAATAACAGTAGAACCAAATTTAAAATGTATAGAATAAATATAGTTTTTAGATAATTTAAAATTGGGGAAATATACCATGAAACTTTATATCAATTTTATTTTAGGCCTTAATTTATTATCCTAAATTTTTAAAGTTTACTTTTATTTTTTAAATTAATAGTCATGACGAACATTTAATATTTGTTTCAATAGTTGATCTATACGCTTTTACACTATAAATATGCAGCACAACACACAAAACATTCTAAAAACTGAAACTTTATAAGTTAGAAATACCGAACGGAAATTAATTTCCATTTTTATTCTTAGATAAATTCTAAATTAATTTAAGATATAATTGAATTTAACTAAATTTTTTTAGCTGTTTATTATTAATAACGCCTGATTAAATTTCGTTGTAGCCTAACTCTATAACATACTGTATAAGAAACTTTCCCTTTTCACTAAATGATAAGAAATTAGTTTCTTATTATATCTTAATTGTACCCTCGTAGGGTGAAGTCCTAAGCTCTAGACTGCTTTAGCTTAAGTTCATATGTGTAAAATTTGGCTCTGATTATTTGTCATATAAGAAGAAAATTTATAAAATAATCATTGTTAATCGGTTAAATGTTCTTCCCTATTAATTATTTTATCACGAAGAAAGAATATCTGACATTTAAATGTAATCGATTATTTTTATTATAATATTCAGTTTAATAAATCATAAACATTATTCTATTTTACAGTTTAATGTAGAATAAGAAGTAAATCTTTAATCAGAGAAGACAATTTCTTTAGAATCGGTTGATATAGTAGCAAACGTGACCACGCCTTTAGTATTATGAAATTGGGCGGGAAAAGTGTAACTCCGCCTCCTCCATGTCAAAAGGTGAAGATAAGCAGACAAGTTTTTCTTGTGTCGATATCTCCATTGATGCTAAACTCGTCTGTTCATTTCCCGTTTCACAGGAAACTCAATATAAAATCCTGAATGTCTGGACAATTTACGAACGACTGAGACAATCGTCACTAATAAAATCAATCAACAAGAAGAATTTTTCTTTCTATAAATGGGTTTTTTTAAATAAATTTAGCA